GCGTTGTAAGGGCAAAACTGAGAAAACTTGTGGGTTGAGATAAAGACACTTTAATAGGCAAAGCAAAAGCCACGCACACAAGCAAAGCAAAGCAAGGAGTTCATTCACCCTTTCCTATCACAGGCAGGTACTCGCCATACCCAGGAAAACAGGGCTCCATCACGCGTAACGGTGACCTGGGAAGACAACGCCATCACTCCCAACGTTCCCCCTTACTCTTCCTTCCCCCAGCTTTTTATCTTGCGCATGATGCCATGTGCCATGGAATATCCATTGGGTCAGCTGGAGTCCCTTCACTTATTGTGCACCCCCAGCCTGCTCTCTGGAGGTGCGGGAGCAGAAAAGGCCTTGGCTCTATGTAAGTGCTGCGGAGCAGTAACTAAAAGATCCTTGTGTTATCAGTACCGTTTCCAGCACAAATCCAAACCATAGCCCCTTACTAGCTACGGTGAAGAAAATTAACTCTACCCCAGACAAAACCAGCACAACTGATAATGCTGAAAAACTGTACAAGTGTGATGGTTCAGGGTTCTGATTATGCTCGTCTAATGCTGCTTTTATGTTAAAGAGACTTTATATAAGGGTGGGGTTCATGCAGACTGGCCAGAGTAAGCAAGCAGCAGCCTTGAAGATGATGTAGTTACATTAGATACTAAGGTATGATACCATGGATGATTTTTTTATTACTGCTTTTGGTATAACATTGCTCTTTTTTACTTCCTGTTACGAGTCATACTTTAGTGTAGATACAGTTACTGATGTTTGTGCTAAGGTGCTTTTCTACAGTTCAGTTTTTCCTTATGTTGTTAAAAAATGCAGCATACAAAGCTTGGAAAAGTCTTTAGATACTCGTCTAAAGTAGCAGCAGGTCTATAGAAACTATTAAACTGGTAAAACTACTGATAGATAAATCAGACCAATTTCAACATGCACCTTGTTGAACATGAAATCAGTAGAGAAGAATTACGAATAGATCATTATTAGGCAACTCTGAATTTGGCACAATTATTACTTTGTTCTGTCGAGGAGGTCTGTCTCTCCCCTTCCTCTGCTGCTGGCTGGGCAGCACGCTTGCTGTAATCCTCTGCCACTAGATGTTGCTATATGAGTGATTGATAGAATCTTATCTGATGCTGGATGGATTCATCTCTGAAGAAGGTATCGCTGAAACAGTATTAGTGCCTGTTCTGAAATTATTCTGAAATTGTGAGACGTTTGCCTGAGACATTTTTAGCGTTTATTGGCTCTGTTCTATTAGTCATAAAGATTGTTTCTCTCCTGTACACCCAGCAGTGTGCTAGTCATTATTTCCAATTAGGCAGGCTTTTCTTTTCATGTGTCTATAGAGCTCCTGGTCTCAGTACAGAGGAAAAAAGGCAACAAAATGTAACTCAGCCAAAAAGGGTTTTGCAGGAACCATGTTCTGTAGCATCTGTGGCTTTTCATTCGATGAAAGGTGGCAAGAGAAGAAAATTGCTCCACATTCCAGCATGAGGAATAATCACTTTTCAGGGGAAATTTTTGTCTTTACTTCACTTTGGCTGTTTTTTAAGCAGTACCTTTTTGGTGAAGCATTACTTACCTCCTTGGGGGTTTGCTGTGTTTATTCTACACAGAAGTCTACAAATAAAAGAGCTCCATCAGGGTGAACTGAAGTTACCCTAAGGAAAAATTTCATTGCATGGATTGTGTAAACTCACTGAGACTGAAGTAAAGCTGGAAAGGAATCTACAAGTGAATAAACCAAGAAGTTTGGAATTGGATTTGGGGAATCTGGGCTTGGAAATGCCTCAGGTAAGTCAGTTATGGTTTTACTTGCTTCTGGAAATAATTTTGCTTCCTTATTTACAGAGAAGGAAAAAGAAAAAGTTTAAGAGCAAATTTGAGTGGCATTAGAAAGGAGAATTTAGAAGAGATGAAATGGTGTATACTTTTTAGGGTCCCAGTAGTGTCTATGCTGGAAGCTGTGCTCTTGGTGCTGCATTTGTTCACACAGCAAGATCGAGCCAAGCTGTTGCCTTGATGAGGGTGGATGCCTGGAGAGCAGCCTTTTATTACTGCAGTGATTCACACATCAGCACACCAAACGACTTTCAGCAGAACAGTGTTTCTCCCTTCCCAACCCTCAGGGCGAGTGTGTCTAGAAGAGAAAGAGGTCTGGAATTCAATGTAGCAGGAAGCCTTGCTCCCCATTCCCTGCATGCCCAGTCATCCTGCATAATGTTTGCAAAGTTCCACTTCACTCTCAAGAGGTATAACACTCCTGATTGAGTTGAAATCAATCTTCCTTATTTTACAACCTCAGGTGGAAATTTTATGAGTTCTAATGGTTATACAGTCAACACTGGCTTAGTACAAAATAGTTGGCATTAGGGTGAAGGCCCTGCAAGCGTGTAGTGCCTGTTGATACTCACAGATCTTGCCAGTACTCACTCTTCTCTTCTACGAATGCTAACAGATCCCTAAACTTGGCAAATGCATGAGAATTTCAAACCCACAAAATAGAATGAATGAGCAATGCTCTTGCAGCTATATGATGAATACAAATGTGTCCTTTGGTTAAAGAGCTGCATGTTATTAACTGCTCTTAAAGCATTCTCTCGCTCTGAGAAATGACATGCTTATCTGTGTAGGTAAAAACCTTCCAGATGCAAGGATAGCACAAGGTCAGAGACTTGGATGAAACGGCAGTGCTCTCTGTGTTTTGTTGAAGAAAATAATATGCCTTTTTATAGCATGCTTCAAATGTCAGTATCAATTTTGTTGTAGCCCAGTGTGAGTGGAATGGACCCTCCTTTTGGGGATGCCTTTCGGAGCCATGTGTTTTCAGAGCAGACTCTGATGAGCACAGATCTCTTGGCAAGCAGTTCAGATCCAGACTTCATGTATGAACTGGTAGGTCATCTTTCTGTGTGTCTACATAACTTCCTCTCCTTGATTAATGCCCTGAGTTGTGTAGTAATAAAGGGGTATTTTGTTCAAGAATGCTAGAGGATTATTCATTACTGCTCGCTGCTGATGAGGGGAGAGGCTAACTGCTTGTCCAACAAATGTGATGCTTCCTCAATAGGTGCTTGTTAAAGCTGGCCACCAGGAGAGGCTTGATATACAAGTTTTAAATAGAGCCGTGTTCACCTTATGTAAAGGTGCTTGAGACTCTTCCTTACAGTCTTTTCTGCAAGAGCAGTTTTGTGCTACTTCACTTGTGCCTGTGAATGCAGGGGAAGCAGAACAAAAATTTACTTGTGAGCTACTTACACTAGCAACCTTTATTTTTCTTTCTTCCCTGCATCAAAGGAGAAAGGTAGCTCCTAGTTTTTAATTGACCATGTTAGAATGAGGTTTTCCAGGGGCTGGTAAACTTCAGCATATTTTGTTAAGCACTCAGCAGAGATTGACCTTGGTTATTAGAGACTAGAACAGCTTGCCTGTGATGTCTTTCATAGATATTGGTATTAGTCTAGTTCCTGATGACCAGAGGAATTTGCAAATGCAGAAAAAGAATCCAGCAGCATTTGATTTGTATCTTTAGCAATCTCTTGAGGAGGATCTGCTGCTGAAGCATGGAAGCGAGGCTTCATTCTGACCCTCAAAAGAATCTTTTAGTAGCTTTTTAAAAGTGAAGTTGAGGCATCTTCAAATGTTAGCACTATCTTACACTTCACTGGAATTAAACTTACCATACTAGATTAAATAGAGGACAGAGATGATTTATACTTTTTCTGTAACAATTTTAACTTTTTATGCACAGGACAGAGAAATGGATTATCAGCAAAGCTCCAGAGACAACTTACTTTCAATGGAGGACTGCAAAGACCTTGAGAACTTGGAGTCTTTTACAGACATCCTGGACAAAGAAGCTGCTCTCACTTCAAAATGGGAGCAGTGGGACACCTACTGTGAAGACTTAACGAAGTACACTAAATTAACGAGCTGTGACATCTGGGGAACAAAAGAGGTGGATTACCTGGGCCTTGATGACTTTTCAAGCCCATACCAAGATGAAGAGGTGATAAGCAAAACACCAACACTGGCTCAGCTTAACAGTGAGGACTCCCAACCTGTTTCTGATTCACTCTATTACCCTGATTTGCTCTTTAGCGTAAAACAAAACCCTTTAAATCCTTTGTTACCTGGCAAAAAAATTGCAACCAGAGCAGCAGCCCCAGTCTGTTCCTCCAAGAACGTTCAGGCTGAGGCACCTTTGTCGGACTGTGTTCAGAAGGCAAGCAAACCTGCAACTCAGCCTGCTTCCAGTACACAAATCATGGTGAAGACCAATGTGTACAATAGTGAAAAGGTGAACATTCATGTTGAATGTAAAGACTATGTTAAAAAGGCAAAAGTAAAGATCAATCCTTTACCACAGAGCAGGCCAGTGCTGAGCCAGACACATGCTGATGCAGCAAAGGAAAACACCTGCTACTGTGGTGCTGTAGCAAAGAGACAAGAAAGAAAAGGAATAGAGTCCCCGCACAGTCACAGTACAACTCCTATTTTGCCTTTCAAAGAGACTCAAGAACTGCTCCTCAGTCCACCCCAGGAAACCCCAGGGCTCATTGCTGGGGAGAGCAGTCTTTCTGCCAGCACATCAGTGTCAGATTCTTCACAGAAGAAAGAAGAGCACAACTATTCTCTTTTTGTAACAGACAGTTTGGGTGAACAGTCAGCCAAAGGAGACCCTGAGGAAGATGAGGATGATGAGGATGATATTGAAGATGAGGACCATGATGAAGGGTTCGGCAGTGAGCATGAGCTCTCTGAAAACGATGATGAGGAAGAAGATTATGAGGATGATAAAGATGATGACATCAGCGATACTTTCTCAGAACCAGGTACCAGCAGTGTCGGGTTTTGTTAACACAGAGATTAATGGATTTATCTGCCAAGTGGGAAAGAACACTTTTGAATGCTTTATCATTACAGATAAGCAACACTGATCTTAAATTGGGAACTTCCATCCCAGATTTTCTAGGTGTTTGCAAAATGTTAATTGACAAAAACTGTACGAGGTCTCTATATTGCCCTGTTTCAAGAAAACCTGCATAAGTTGTGGTCATGCACCAAAAATAATAGTAGAGAATACAGGAAACCTGGCTTGTAGCCTAAGGCCATAGAGCAACTACCTGCAGTTTTTGTCTTCTTTTTTTGTGGCTTGATGATGGGATGTGCAGAGCTTTCTAGTGCTTGCTGCTTTGAGTTTATCTAGACTTCTACCTATTGATAGCTCGTATAAAATCATAGCCTGAGTGAAATAATTTCATCATTACTTAAGTCCTACTGTTGCAGGTATAGTTTTCCGCAGAATCCAAAGAGTATCTACCACTGAAACTAATTGAACCATTTCTTGGTGGTTTTCAGCAGTAACACTTAGTGGGTCTTCAAAGGATACTGAAATCCTCTCTTCTGCATGTAGAAATGGAGCCTTAACAACAGAAATAAGAACTAACCTTCACCTAGAAGGTAACAAAGCGGTAATGTTGTGTGAAAAGGAAATATGAAGGGAGAGGGACAGGACTGTAACCAAGGATTAGTTTCATTGTAGAAAGTGTTATAATATTATAAATGCTTTGTATTGGAGCTTAAGAATTAAGGTATTCAGACATTTGGCAATATGTAACTTCAGGGGGGAAAGCAGCTGAAATTTTGCCTTTTTAAAAACAGCAGCTTCCCTAAAGCTTGTCACTGTTTGTCATAATGAACTCTCAGATTAAATTATTTTCTAAGTAGATTTCCTGAGTTGGCATTAAACTTACTAAGCATTATACCCTTTATGTTATTTTTACATGTACATTACACGTTTTTATTAGCATTTTAAAACCTCTTCCTCCCTTCTTCTGAATTCAACTCCCTCTACTTTCTGGGGCTTTGAGTAGCTATTAGAGCTCTGTAATGACTGCTGTGCTGCACAGTGCTTTGCAGCCCACGGAGGCACGTTGCACAGGAAGCCTGGTAACCTTGAGAAAGAGATGTCATATTAAAATGCTGGTTTCAGTTGGTGGAATTACATTAACTGTTTGTCACTTGTTCAAATTTTACTGCCAAGCTCTAGCTTTCTAAATACATCTACATCATGCAGTAACAGAGGAACTTGGCTTATACCAGCTTGCTAGGACTCGAAGTGAATGAAGCTATTCAGCTTGAGTAGGGTGATACTAAAAGTTTCACCATATGTTTTGATTCTATTAGAAAGTAACGTCTCCAGCTATTTTAGTTATGTCACTTTTGTACTTAGTGTTGAGGTTTTACCTCTAGAGTAAAGGTAAATACTGTGGATAAAGTTTCTAAAAATTGGCATGGCACAAGGAAGATTCGACCTTCCATAGTACTGAAAACAACATCAAGTTGATAAATTTAGAGCGAAGATAGTAATTCACTGAAAGGACAAAAAATTCCTGTTTGTTGCTGCCCCTCTGGTCTTTTATGCGCAGTTGGCTTTTGTTTATTCTTCGAATATGTTTTTGGAGTCTATGAAATGCATTCTTAAAGCATCAGTGTTGTCTGAGGCAATATTGTCTGAGGAGATAGTGAACTTTAGGAACTTGGAGAAATAGCCAAAAACATGACTGACTGTCAGGCAAGTTTGGGCAATAGTCTTTTTACTGTCATGATGATACAAATTCAGCAATTTTGATCACCTGCAAAGGTAATTTGTTATGGGAACTATCAGCCCAGGCCTTTTCTAGCACTTAAACTTTTCTTTCCATTACTGGTATATTTTACCTACCTCATTTAATAGAAATATTTGTAAATGATAGCTTCTTCCCTGAAGAAGTCAAGAGATTGCAGAAATGGGAGATGCAACAACTGTCTCAGTTTTCAGTAGCACTGGGGAAGAAATAGGCAAACGGGAAAAGTGTGTGCAGAGACATAGAGATTGTTTAAAGAAGCTGCATTGCATCTATTTTGAGCAGCTGGACCAGCAGCTGGAGGAAAAAGACTCCTAAGTAGTTTGACAGAAGTCAGTATGACTAAGTGCTAAGATAAAGGGTTTTCTGGTTTCGTTTTGGTGGGGCTGGTTTTACTTTTAATGTGGCAAGATGCACAAGTCATGTTCTCTGGTTTAGTTAATTTAACCCTGGTGAATTTAATCCTAAAACCATAGTAAGGGATGTGAACAAAGATTTTTAGGAAGGACTTGTGAAGGGCTTGAGAGGTACACACAAGGACTAGGTTATTCTGTGTAACTTTAAAATTATAGCAGGTCAGTGTTAGAGTTGCAAAGCAGGATGCATTAAGTCAACATAATTTAACTTGCTAACTTAATTATAGTTTAAATAAGCAAACAGGAAGTCTTGATTTTAACCTTGTACATGTGTACACATTGGCTCTTCAAGAGATTTATTTTCATCGGTTGGCTTAATTCTGTGTTACAAAGATGGGCTAAATTTATCCATATCTATATAAATGAGTTACATAGCTTGACATGTTTTTTCAAGTGGAAAGTAAGTGGGGTTTTTAAGAGTATTTTGATACTTATGTCAAACAGCATTTGGGTAAAATGGAAATACAGTAAAAATATTTATGGTGTTTGAAACTATATTGAATGTGAATTGTCATAATCATTTTGGCTGTATGAGAAAAAAATGTTTCATAAACCATGTTTCATTGGTTGATTTGCCTTTAAAGTACTGCCTTTTTACTAAACTAGAGAATCAAAGTAAAGGAGTTGATGAAATGATTAGAAACAAAACTTTAGAGCTGGTTTCATCCTTCTGCGCACCTAACTTTTAGTCATACTTTTGGTTATGAAGTGGGAGTCCGACCGAAGCAGGAAAGTTTGTTTTTCCTCTTTCAACTGGTTTTTCAAGTGCAAACAGACTAATTGAATGGTCTGTTTTAAAAAGAAGAAAGTCTTCTTTGTGTTACTGTTAAAGGACGAAGCAGGGGTCAAGGCTTGTTAGGCTTACAGCCCCTTCAGTGGGTGGCTTTTCTTTAAGCTTCATCAGTGTATGTGATTTTTTTTTTTAATGTAAACTGTTATATAGCATTTTAGTACACAAGGTGATGCAATGGCTTGAGGTTTTTTAACCTTAATATACATCGTCTTTATTTTCTGAAACCTACACAGGATTTTAAAAGCTGTGGTTTGTGTTTACATAATTATGGTATAAGTATTCATGCAATGTGGATAGTGGCATTACAGTGTCCATGTGCTTCACGACCAGTGCATCATATCAAGTGCATCATAATATACGTCTAAAGTTTCATGTAGTTTTACTGTGGATCATTTCATCCCACTAAAGAGGTGAGGAAGAGATTGAACAGCTTGTGTCCAGATCCCTTGAGTTTAGATGATCTTTTCTTACGGGCTTTAGGTCATTGTCCTCATAACAGAGCCCCCTTCTTCTAGTCTAACAGAGATGAGTGATTTGATTTATTTCCCAAAAGTATTCAAACTCAAGGAAGAGCAGGAGTTGGGCTCAATGATCCTAATGGGTCCCTTCCAACTCAGAATATTCTATGATTGAATAATTTTGCTTTCTTTATTAGTCTTTTGCTAATTCATCTTTATTATCTGCTTCTCTTTCCATACTTTTTGATTAGAGATTAATTAAAATGGAAGAACACTCTCCAACAGCTGTTATCTGTACTTTGCAGTGGTGGGATTGTGGGGGAGAACAGCAATAGAGCTTAAGGGGTCAGAGAACATAAAGAGGCTTTCAATGCATAAATAATTTGTCTCTCTTCAACTAATGAAGCAGCATCACTGGCTCAATGTCTGTCTCTGGATTTAAGGCAGATACCCAGCAGTAGTTGACGATGGAAACCAAGTCTATTAGATAATGTAAAACAGGCCTTGTATGTGGTTTTGCTTTTAACTTGAATACTCAGTCCACAGTTAAAGGGCTAGAAACAGTTTTGTGAACTTTATATAAACAATGCAATGCATCCTTTTAGGGTATGAAAATGATTCTGTGGAGGATTTAAAAGAAATGACTGCAATATCCTCCCGGAAAAGAGGCAAGCGAAGATACTTCTGGGAGTACAGTGAGCAACTGACACCATCGCAGCAAGAAAGAATGCTGAGGCCATCCGAGTGGAATCGAGATACATTACCAAGTAACATGTATCAGAAGAATGGTCTCCATCATGGTAAGAATAGAGTCCTAGTTACAAGTGAATGTCTTTCATTCTGACACCTTCAGTAGCCCAACTGCCATACTTGCAATTGCTGAGAAGTTGTATTTTGGCCATGAAAATAAATCATTAAAACACTGTAAGTCTGTTGCTCAATTAGCAGGGCTGTGCACAGTGTCCAAGGAAGGCACAGTGAACATACAGTAGTAACTTTCAGTGTGGTTTCTTCACAGGAAGGTCAGTGAATTGAAAATTGTAACTTTCAAGAGCTTTCAGTGGAAACCCCAAAAGTTGGACGTTTTCTCAGTGCAATACTGTAAACATACTGGATGGGTCGCTTGACTCTGATTTGTTCCTCATAGCTGGTAGTTTAAGTCTTGCTTGTGTTAGAAGTAAGCTGGAAGTGATCTGAAATGCGAAATTCACGTTAACCGCAGTATGACCTAAAGGACAAGCAATAAGGCATAACTGTCTCTTTTTGCTCCTCCCTGCTTGTTTCTCCCACCTGTGTGAATGCAGCACAGTGAAGCAGTTACTCTTCTGTGAATAAACTATTTCTTTAAAATATACCCCCTTAAAAACTAAAACCAATTGGTCTAATAACTGTGTTTTATTCCCGTAGCTTTTTGATTAGCAATTTGCTAACCACAGACATGACTAATATCACCCAGAACAAACTACTCTTAGGAGTAATGTTTGCTTTTTGTCACAGGACCTCTTTGGTAAGCTGCTCCATTTGATTTTGGCTTTGAAGGAGAAAATGAAACCAGCTTCCCTGGTTGTAATGTTAATATTCCCTTACAGTTGAAAATTACTGTCTTTAACGTGGCAGTTTACCTTCTGTTAAACCAAAGGATTTTATTGTTGTTGTTGTTACTCGTAGATTTATTCAGGAAATAAAACTTGGGTTTTTTAAAAGTCTCCATAGTTTTTATATGCTTATCTGTCTTGTAGTGAAATATCAGTACCTAAAGTCCCTATCACTGCTCCTTTTTCTGAAGGCTTATATCTATACTTGTTATTAAACAACAAATAGCCAGACATGCCTTGAGGTCTCGGTCCCACCAGATACTTGGAGAAACAAGTGACCTTTAAGTCAGGTGCATATGCAAGAGATTTTTAGGATCAAATGCTAGAAAAAGACACACAGGAGTGGCAGACAATCTTAAGGCATAAAGATTTGGTCTTGAATACTTGTATTTCCTTGGGAAAACCAGGCCTTAAATAGCTTCAGATACACCCAGAAGGTGTTAACTAACCTTTGTGTGGATCATTTAAGCTCAGTATCACTGAAAATCATTTCAATACCAGGCCTCAACACTATTTCGTAGCACAGAACTTTAGCAATAAGATTATTGAGGCATTTCATCAACTTGAGTGTGCAAGAGGATATATTGGCTGAACACATTAGTTAGCAAGTTACAGTTGGGGCAAAACAACTGGGTTTGAACTTGTGACATACATTCTTCAGCACAGTTGTGCATGAATACTGTCTGTGACATCCAGTAGCCTGGCCAGCAGCATTTGCTCTTATCTGATCAGGATACAATATGAATTGTACAAAGCAGTTTGTCTGGAAATGTTCTTTCTATTGTGAAAGGCCATAGGGATCACATGATTCCAGTTCATTCTCTTGTAATGAACAAAGGAACTTCAACTGCACCCAAAAAAGTACATCCTTAAGAATGTTTTTCCACAGGTTTGTGTACGTGTTGTGTCACTTCCCAACCCAGTTTTCTGCATATTTAAAACAGGAAAATACGCAGCAAAGAAGTCACGGAGGACTGATGTAGAAGACCTGACTCCCAACCCCAGAAAACTTCTCCAGATTGGTAATGAACTGAGGAAGCTGAATAAGGTGATTAGTGACCTGACGCCAGTCAGTGAGCTTCCCTTAACTGCCAGACCGAGGTCAAGAAAAGAAAAGAACAAGCTGGCTTCCAGGTATGTATTAGATAATGCTACATGGATGAGTAGATTTGGATTACTGCAACTGTACAATTAAGATCTAACTAATTTTTGGCTCAGGAGATCCTGCTTCATCGAGGCAGTTCCTGCAATGGGATAATTACCAAGTTACCAAAAAGCAGAGAGACTGGCACTTTGGAGATGTAATTTGCCTGTTCCCTAGATAGTGATGTATTTTCACTGGCAGCTGGCTTGCTTAGCTGCAGGGCAAATGATTGATGCAGTGATAAAATCCACGAGTGTGAAATGTAAGCAAATAAAGGTAGCAGAGTGCTTTCGGTGAAGTTGAGTGAGTAGACAGATGATTTTGTACATCACAGCTCTAGGAGTGTTGGTTGATAAGTTCGTGTGGCAAACAGATGCTCTTAGTATTCTGGAATTTTTGTTAGTGTTCTAATTCTTCCCCTCTTCTTACTATAGGGCTTGTAGACTAAAAAAGAAAGCCCAGTATGAAGCCAATAAAGTAAAACTCTGGGGTCTCAACACGGAATATGGTAAATACAACTCTTCACATCTTAATTTTTCTTTTGTTCAGACAAGTCTGTGTTTTGCCATCATGTAACTTGGGTCATACCTGACAGTTTATAGAGAAAAACAGGGTTGGTACAAACCCAACAGTTTTGTTGCTACAAAACCACTCACTCCATAAAGTATATGTAGATTGGGTTACCTGCAGTGTTGAGCTACTTTACAGATGTAAATTATGTAAGTGTGTATGTGTGGATTCATAGAATCATATGAATATTTGTGAAAATATGTTTACAGATGTAAATTATTACATCTGAATTTTACAGTAAGTGTGATGTGACACCTTTGACGCTTTCAGATAGCAGTGTGTGGACGACTGTGGATCTCTTTTGCTTCAGGGGGAATGTACTGCAAATCTAATCCAGGTTTTTTTCTTTGCAGATAATTTACTGTTTGTGATCAACTCCATTAAACAAGAAATAGTTAATCGGGTGCAGGTACCTAAAGATGACAGAGGAGTCAACATGGAACAAAAATTGAACATACTTATCAAAGACACTCTTGGTAAGCAGTAAACTTAACGTATGTGCGTGTGTGTGAAGAGACATACAATCTATGACACTTCAGATTGCAAACAATTTCTGGAACAGAGAAAAGAAAAACAGTGCTTCCTGATTGCAGTTATTTATGCCTTTTGGTTAGTTTCTAACCAAAGCGTTCATTGGCTTTATATTACATACAGGAATGCATAAAGTGAGTAGTAACCTTACAGCACATTTTCTTACCCTTAGGACTACCTGTAGCTGGACAGACATCAGAATTTGTGAATCAAGTTTTAGAGAAGACTGCAGAAGGAGACCCCACTGGTGGCCTTGTAGGGCTACGAATACCAATGTCAAAAGTTTAAAGACACGACTTCAGCTGTTCTCATCGGTCAGATTCTACCTGTGTTGTCAAGTACTTCATTGTAAATTGCATTCTGGTCTGCATGTCAGTTTAGCATTACGTAAACACTTAAAATTAGGTTCCATTGATTTTAAGTAACAAAGTAGTAAACCAAATCAAAGCATGATATAAAATGCTTAATAGCATTTTTGGACCATAAACCAGGTAGTTTCAAAGCTGCTTTAAGCTTAAATACAGAGATGAGAATTCTTTTGAAAATTAAGTTCTTTAGGACCAGAATATCACTTTTGATTTAGAAGCAAAAACATGGGGTTGCTAGTAAACAATGTTAGCATATGCCAGACATTGTGACAGGTTTATGCTCCAAGTGAAATGAGAGGAAGCGTTTTTTTGGTAAAGCTGTCAATTTAGGGAGGATTTTGTTCCTTTTTTTGGTTTTTGGTTGGTTGGTTGTTTTTTTTTTTTAATAATTGGATTTTCTTTTGTTCTTCTTGCAAACCAGTAAGCTTTCTTTGCAACCATTAACTTGTACATAGCACACACGGCAGTAGAGCTAGTGTGCCATATAAGACTTTAATTTTCTGAGCTTAATATAGTATTTAAATGTCTGTGCAAGCAAGAGAAAAAAAGTATATTCTTTGTGCCTTGTATTTTGGGGGGAGAGCTATCAGTATAAGCTGGTAAAGTTTTGTATGAAGAAAACCCTGAGGGGAAAAACCAAGATGTATAGATGGTAAGATTATAGGTTTTAATGTATTTGTTCCAGCTCTTACAATTTTTTGAATGTATATAGGAATATGTTGAAAATGTAGATATATGCCACAGAGTCTATGTATTGTATAAAAGATGGCTCTAGAAAACTCAATTTCGGTACTTTGGCCGGAAGAAAACAAATACTTGCACATTAATGCGATTGTTTATTTTTGTACCAAAGACAAATGCAACTGATATGGCGAACTGCCAGTCTAAGTAAAGTTTTGCACAGCTTATATGATACTGTACTGAATGTAAAAACAAATGAAAAAAAAAAGAAAAAAATCTAAAGGTCAGGGTTAGGGATCTTACTGAACTGTGAATTTTTTTGTTTGGGTCCAATTATCTACAGAAGGAGCATTCATACATAACAATATTATTTTGCTGTTCTTGTAGTTCGCTTCCATGGTAGATAAGTTGGTGGCCATCTCGGAGTCTTTAAATCTTTTTTCTCTGCACTTACTGTAGGAGATTTTAATATATTTGGATTTTAGTAAGCTATTGGTAAAATAGTTTTCAACTTTGAGAATTTAAGGAAAAAAAAAAGATTATTTAGCTTGTTGTAGTATACTTCCACCAAACAACCAAAATAAAATTATTTTTATTGTAACGTGTATATATGTAAAGAGAAAAAAGAGCTACAGATATCTAATTCCTTAGTTGCCACTTTTCCAGTTGATGTATTATTATGCATGTGATGTTTCCAAGGATCAACACAGGCTTCAAACAAAATGAAACAAACAAAAAAAAATTTATAGACTTTTATATTTTTGTACAGGTATTTCGAAACTAGCTTCTTCAAACTTATATGTGACTTATTCTTGTTAATTCAGTAGTTTCTATGATTGAGGAATATTAACACACAGTTCTTATTTGCTCTTCTGCTAATAAGACTTGGCTTTGTAGTCAGTGTTAACGTACAGATTAAAAGCTTTAGCCTTTGATGAGAAAGTCCTTTATCTCAAGGCAAGATCATTCTCTGGTTTCATGGACCCCCCTCCTTTTCCTCCCTGTTCTTTCTCTCCCTATTTAAAGATGACAAAACACTGTTTACTGAAAATAGAAATACCAAATATTTTCAAATGTAGCTGCTGAAAAAAAGAAAAAAATGCAAAAGTCCATGAAGGCTTTTTCCCCGCTCCCTTTGGGGAATTTCTCCACTTCATTTCTAGTTTGTCTGAGTTTGTTTGTACTGTGATTCCTTTTTGTTTATAAGTAGATTATTTTTATATCCAAGCTTGTACTATTAAAAAAAAAAAGGCTGGATCAGTAAGAGTGCAGTAAGAGTGGCCGATGAAAGTGGCACTCCTGCCACATACTTGTGAGCATGCACACAGCTTACTTTGTGTCTAAATATTTTGGAAGACTCAAAAGGGAGGAGGAGGCCAAAATACCACTACTGAGCTGTACAGAAAGTCTTTCCTACAAGAGACTAAACAAATACCCAGGGCAATTTAGGCAAAACTTTGTAAATCCACTTAAGACTTGCAAAATCTGAGTGGAATGTGGGTGGTTTTGTTTCAGGTGTTTTTGTTGTCGTTGTTGTTGTTGTTAGGGTGAGGTGAGAGTTGGCTGCTGCTTTACACAGTGGGTCAGATGTATTCCTGTTGTAATTATTGCTGATGTTGCAGTTATTCTGGAGGTACATATGGCCCATAAAACCCCGACAAAGAATGTCTCTTGTGAAGTTAAGGCCATGTCTGTACCAAGATTTTGAATACTGTTGTTCCTTTCTGATGAATGGTGTTGCCGCACTGCTCAGATACGAGAGCTCCTTACGCTATATCCGAACTGTGTAGGCAAGGTAGCATTTCTAAACGTTAAGAGAGCAGTCTTGCAATCAGGTGAAAACTTCTGTGACAAATTAAACTGACAAGGTATTAAAAAAGCCCCTTTTTTACTGCTCAGAAGTACTGGGCAAATACAACTTTATAGCTTTTTATTTTTGTCTGAAAACCAGAATATGATTTTGGTCTAGCATTTCAAAGTAGCCTTTGAATCTTTAGTGAATTCCATACCCTTGCATTTCGTGTTTTCTATGTATTATTTTAAGTTAAAGCTTTTAAATAGTTGAGCTTTTTAATGTTGACACTTTATTTTGTAACTATTTATATGTATGTATATCTTAGAAAAGCACTTTGTTTAAGAAAAAAAAAACAAAAAAAAAAGAAGAAAAAAAGAAAAAAAAGAAACTGCGTTTTATATGATTCCTGCCACTTGCTGCTAACTCTGGGCTGGTCAGAATGCTGCAGCGATACTTGATATAAATAAAACCTGGCAGTAAAATGTAGAGTAAAGATAAGACCTTTTGCTGGTTTAACTTTATCATAAAGGTGACATAGGCAAGCTGTGCAGCTTTACATTTTAACCAGGGGACTCTGTGGCATTTAAACCGTCTAGAAATGGTTGTACTTTAATGCCAGTAACAATCTGCTTCCTCTAGTGTCATTAAAATATATACATTTAGTGTATACTTATCACAAACAAAAATCTTATAAGGGTATAAAAACCAACAAATGTACATGTTCTGTTTTTTGGCAATTGTGGCATGCATTTTTGGATGATCTTTAGAGAAGACCATTTTCTAAAGATTTTCAGTGTTCATACATGGTATGTGGATCTTAATGAAGTCCTGGATTTTTTTTGTTTGTTTTTGAGTGTAGGCATTGTGAGTATTCACTTTTAATCCTATATCCAAAAGCAATTATATATTTTTGATTTAATACAAACAAAAGCTCTTCCTTTTTCTGATACACTGGATTCTCTAGAATTTGTTTCCATATTAAAAGCATGCTGTCATAACTGCTCTTGTTGAGATCTCGTCAGTCTGAACTTAGGTGCCACACTTTGAATCGATGGACTGCTTGTTCTACTGTACCATGTATGATTCTCGTCCTTTCCTACTTCCTTCTCATGACAGATGATGATGTGGCTTTATATTGTGCCTTACTTGTACATCTAGAACTAAATGTTTTTCATTCCCTCTGAACTCCTCAAACCCAACCCTTCTGAAATTGAATCAGAACTCATAAAAGCATCCTGAAGAAAGTCTGGATAGATCTGATTTCAGTTTCTCTCGGTAGTAGTCCTTTTGTATCTCTATGGAAGACCAGTTTTTGAATGGCCTTGCAAAATGTGGGGGTGCTCGTGAAGGGTGTTTTTTAGCCCAAAACCCCTTTTGCTAACACTTCCTTTTATGGTTTATTGAACACATATACTGATACTTGGTGAGTACTTTATTTTTTGGATGAGAGAGACTTACTGCTAAAGCTATGTTTACGTGTGGATGGGCTGGATTTTCTTATTGTACCAGTTGAAATCATTGTGATTTGATGAAGTTGTATTGCTGTAAAGCTGATATGAGAGTCAGGCTCAGCTTTGTTCGGTTCCTAATCTTTATAGACATTTTTTCCATACTAAAAGGGCCAGGAAAAAGTGTTTTTAAAAACAAACAAGCAACTTAAAGGGTCTTTTAACCAATCTAAAAGCAACCAAATACTTCTGACATACAGTGGTGTCAGGTTTGATTTTATTTTTAAAAGTTCCCCTCCCCCCAATACTTATCTGATATTTGCCTTCATTAACAAGACATGTAGCTTATTCACAAAATAGACTGGATGTGCTTTTCTTCTCAATAAATCATTTAAACATAGCTATTTTTTTAAAGCTCTAAAAGGCTTTATGAGGAGAATTTCAAAGGGTTGTATACAAGTTGCCTTCAGCAGAAATAGTAGATGCAATTCTGTTCCTCAAACGTGCTTGCAAGTCTTCCTGAACTTCTGTTGAGGCATAACCCAATTATGTACCGTGAATGTTAGGATCTGTTTTTGGCCTTGAGACCTGGATTTCAAGAATGCATCTAATCATGATTTTCTTTTCTTCTGAGTTGGAGGCTTCAGTTGGAATCATCTAGTTAAGTGTGCTGCTAGATGTGGTCTTGGCTTTTTGACACAGCCTTGCACACAGCTGAGGTTTATTTTGCTTACCCCAGGGATTGTGTGAAGTACATTTCAAACAGTTACTGCTTCAGTGACTGATTCTTCTTGTAACTGTATTAAGGGCATTAGTATGTTGAGAAAACACCACTCTTGAATATCTCCCAATATAAATTGGGATTCTTCAATGTCATTTATGAAAGATGGCACTTTTAGGTTCTATCTTCTTTGCAGCATACAAAAATGTCTCTATCCTTCTACGATTTACATTTCACAATATGCCATGTTTTTTCCCCCAATGCTTCTAGCATGA